GCACTTACAGAATAAAGAACGTGCATTTATCTATAAGTCCCACCATGGGCCCGGGCTTAATAATGCATTTAGAGGGGGCTGCATTTAGGGAGGGTGCATTTAGAGGGGTCTGACTGTATTCAAAAAGCATGATTTACAGGTTTTCTCATTCTATATTTTACTACTAAGCTGTTTTCAAAACTCATCTGTAATTGATAATAGGCATGTATTGGGAGTAGGGATTTGCAAATAGCAATCACATAATCAAATTCAACCGGAATTGTTTAATTTCTAATAACGGTAAGACAAATTTTGTCGAATTTAGTTTGGTTGTTAATTTTAGTGTTATTTTAAATTGCTAGAAATAGCTGGACACTAGCACAAAAGCACCAGGCAATTTTTGGCTGGCATCTTTGTGTCATGCCCAAAAAGATGCCAAGTCTTCGTTTATATAAGTTTTGGCAATTTTTATGATAGGTACTGTACTTCCTGTGGGCGGCATTTTTCATTTTTATGCCTGGCACTTTGTGCCGTAACAGTTCCCAGCCTGTGGCATAAAAATTTTTGTTGGGCACGAGGCACGTGCCGGGTATGCAGATTCCTAATTGTGAGATTAAAAATGAAATTTTGAGATGCATTTTTTTAGGGTTAGAGGGGTAGAATTAAAGGTTAATTAGAAACCTCAAATTTCATTTTAATCTGCAAAAATTATTGACAGAAATTTTTTATTACTTATTATTATTATTATTATTATTTACACTATTTCTATGTATGCTTTAAAAATATGGAATCTTCGTACTTGTAATTGCAACGAATTATGGGTAGCTGCGCCACGGATTATCGAAGCAGTTTAGTGTAATAAATGTTCTAATAAGATCTCTAGAATCTGATGATACTCAACCTAACGAATTAACCTAGTTCAGTAATTCTAATTTTAATCATATGATTGGACACGGCTCTGGACGTCTCAATAAGCCGTGTAACTCCATTTCGGAAACACGTCAATTGTTAGTTTTAGAATTTAAGCATTCGTTCTATAGCAAAGAAAATTACAATTAATAGGCATGGACTGTCAAGCCTTTGATCAATCTAGTTGGCAAGTTTCTTGGACTACAATTCGTAAGCACCTTCCTATGAATATTATATGTTTTCTTATATTTTTATCACGTCTATATATGTTATTTTTGTTTACAGTTGTTGGCGCCTTGGTTCAATATGTAGCAGGTTTCTCAATGTTTCATTAATGTTGCTTTAATTCAAGTAGTTGAGTATTGATTTTAATGCTTGAGTATAATTCTATTCCACGCGTATAAACGCGTTTAATCTCATAAATTAAAAGGCACCCTTATTTATGGACCATTATTCGGTAAAGATTGGCTGGGCGCTATGAATAAGGATAAGGGCAATGAAAGGTGGTTTCCTAAAAACGAAAATATAAGGTAATGAACATTTCATTATTGACTATGAGCCTGAATTAATTTTTTCACTGATTTCTGTTTTTCAGATACCGCTTCTTTGGCGCGTTTTTTCTGGGCGCAGCTGAAGTACTGTCTATATTTATTTATTTAGCATATTATTTGTAACCAACCTATGATTTTTTCTCGTATTATTAGAGTTACGTTTATGGAGTTCTTTTAAACTTGACTGGAGCTAAAACGTATTTGCATGCTTTTCAATTGGGCTTGATTATTTTCCTTGGCTGCTTCACACCTATGATTGCATCCGAATCACTATGGGAAATTAGGTATTGTACATCGGGACAAATTTTGAGTTCATTCGTATAATACATGATCAAATAATATTGGTTTATTAAAAATTAGACCGCTTACTTTGATAAAAATCAAAGCCATTAGAGCTGCAATTAGTACTATTGGAGTTACTTTGACATTGTTCTGGTGGAATTCTGGATAGATCCCCTTTTACAATTCGATTTTATTATAATTATCGGAAAAATATTTAGTATGTCATTTTTTTAGAAATTCATTGTGGTATGTAACATTTGTAAACCTTAAATAAAACTTGGGTAATTGGATAATATTGTCTAACAGTTAAGGATGAGGGAATGTTATTATGAGCGGGTTATCATTGGACTTATTCCAATCTTTTACGGATGCTGGATTGGACTTTTATATGTCTAGTCCGATTAGTATTTTTCGATATCTTTAAGCGCAAATAACTTTTGATCCACTGGTCTGTTTTGGATGATTTTACCACCAAAATGACCGCCTCATTGAGACTATTATAATGAATTCAAAATCATTAAAATCCAATCGCAAGATAGTTAATGATTGGTTTAAGTGTTTAAAGTAGAAATTAGGCCCGGATAAGGATTACCCGGATAACCCGTATAAGCACTCTTATCCGGGTAGAAATTTCGTTAACCGTTCACCCAGATAAGAAATCAAAATTTAGAAAATAAATAAAACAAGCCGGTTTATCAAATTAAAATGCGATTCACGACGTCACTTGAACCAAAGTCGGGTTCATTTGATTCGAATATTTTTAAGTTGTGAAATAACCCGATTTTATTTGCATTATATACTGTTATATTAGCCAGTTCTGACTTTTACATAGCTCATTGAGACTTTTTGTGATTGTACCTTAATTAAGAACTCTAAATTACTATTTGATTTTTGGAGGAATGCAAAATTTTTTTTGATATCTTAACTAGGTTAGCTGGGTTAACCGGGTTATTTGAGTTAACCAGGTTGTTATCCAGTTAAGAATTTATTATACAGGTCGATTATCTGGAGTAGAAATTTTATATGGGCCTAATCTCTACCCCTGTAGAATTAACCCTCTGTAGACTTAGGTGGATTGATAGGGTAACTAATCCCATTGGGCCAAACTAGATAAGATGTTGTTACATAGAAATTGACCCTGACCTGATTGGGACCTCATGAGCATATGAACAGTGACTATGCTTGTTATGTGCCTCTAAAAAGTCATATCAACAGCTTGAAGAAGTGTTTATTTATTGTAATATATAGCTCTGAA